AAATGAAGTTTTTTGAATGTCACAAAACAAACTTATTCTCTTAAATTTTGGACATTTGACATTGTCCGTGTTCTTTTATGCCACTACGAGATTTCGATGGTGAAGCTTTCGTTAGTGACTCAAGGTTCCGACTAATGTCATTTTCAAAAGTCTGCTTTGGGGAAAGGTTGATGTTCACCTTCACTGAACCACCGACGCACTAAGATAGCATAAAATAATTGTTAAATATGAGAAACTGTAAGTTGCGGATGGTTACAATTGAGCTTAATTACAGCCACTTCTTCCAGGTCTACCCAACAACTCTGCGAGCAGTCGGCCTTGGCGCTTCTTCAGCTATGGCACGAATCGGCGCCATAGTGACGCCCTTCGTAGCACAGGTGATCCAAGCAATCCTCAGAGATGCCTCACTGAGTCTTCATCCTAACCAATCTTGTCGTGAAATAATTTGCGAAAAGCTGCTTCAATTGATTGATTTGAGGTAGCGTCGGGAAAATCATTGTCGCTCCCTATAGGAATTTACGGAACCACGTCATTGTTGGGACTTATTGCTTCCTTATCGCTTCCCATAGAAACGAGAGGGAGGAAGATGCAGGTTTGAGACTAAAAACAATATCATCAAAATGTTCATTCCCTTTGCTGTGGCGTTCGGAAATCATTCCTTTCTGCTCTAATTTGGAGTAGCAATTAAGTAGCGAAAGTGTCCATTTAATCAATCTTGCGCAATAATTTCATAATCTAAAGAGAAAAGCTCAAAGTAATATTACAGAAGAAAATTTATCGTAGCACAACAGTATTTAGAACTCTTTAAGGAGTTAATCAGTTTGCACATGCAGTTGTGTTAACACCAAGCGCAAATTAATTGATAGATTTGATTTTTCGAGCTTTAACAAGGTGTATGAATGCATTAAAAAAACCAAAGAAAACTTAATGAAATTCCTTATGAAATAAATTGCAGGACACACACTAGCGAATTCATCACTCTATCATCATCATCAATTATCCTACGAAGAGATTTACATCATTAACGAAAAGTTCTTGATTTCTCTGTTTTTATTCTCATATTTTAATCTTTACATGATTTTCTAAATTATCGCAGTTATATTGCTGTGTTCTCATCCTTCACTTGACAAGAGTGTAATAAGATGATTTATTTCTCAAATACGCTATTATGAGTTAGTGATGTATTCTTCTATGATATATCAATCATTTAGATCTCGTTGACAAAATAATACTGCTTCATTGCATCGACTACTCTACAAAATCCTTCATTTAATATCGTTTTTACATAGTGCAGTAAAAGCACGAAAGAAAACCCTGAGCCATTTATATATTTGGGTGAGATGTACCTATGCTATCCTCGAGGTACTTATGTCAAAGTTAGCTGAACTTGCTTTTGTTAGATTCGTAAGCAAAACCACAGCTTATCTCTCTTGTGTATAGGTTCTCCAAAAGCTGGAATCTCTCTTTAATCTCTGCTTAGCCCTTAGCAGGGAGTTCAAATTCTGCTTTAGTGGCAGATCTCAGCATTGATCTTTTTTTTACAAAGTATGTGCTAAACGGAGTATCATTTGTTATGTACTTTAAAAAAAAAGGGGGGGGGGGGGGATTGGAGGAAGGAGAGAAGTCGTATGTGATGGTTTAGGATTGAC